ATTCTGATAATGTTTAAAATTTGTTGTAAGACAAAGAAACAACACTGGATTTCTCATGTTGGCGAGTTGAGATAACTAGCTTTTTTTTCAAAGGTTGGATATTTAAGAAAAAATGTGAAAGTGATCACCAATGCCATTTCGCATGACGATGTCACAGTACCATTTATTGCAACTTACCGAAAGGAAGGGTGCAAAGAGGCTGAGGTTGACTAGGTGGGGGGCAAAGACATGGATACGTTGGAAGTTGGTAATGCCCTCAGCCTGGAGCAAGGGATCGGGATGCTCTAGCAAGATGGAGCAACAGAGGAGGCAGCAGAGACCCATGTTCGGCTTGCCTCCACCTCCACAGCCACCAGATGCTATCAGATTAAGGATTTAGAAGTTATGACTAAGCCTTTTACCGAGAGACGAGCATTTTGCATTACATGGATACGACATTTTTCAATGACCCGGCCTTTTATTCTGCAACTTGACCTCCACGGCGGTGTTAGAGAGCTCAACCTATGCCTTCCATGGAATCTGTTCAGGAGAGTGACAGCTAGAAGACGCTCCCAAAAAGGCATAGCTAGGACTGGAAGCATTCGTACATTCGGTTTTACTACACAACTGCTGATTCAGTTAGAGGAACAATAAACTGTACTTACATTGCAAGTCTGGCCCTAACGTGGTGATCAAAGCACCAAGCAAGTTTGCCAAGCTGTTATGAATGTCAGTGACGGTCGAAGGGGTCTTGAGGAGGAGGCGAAGGACGAGATTGAGACTAGGCTGCACGAATTCACGAAACATCGGCCCACCTGACTCAGCTGTTAATGCAAGAGCGTTCAGTGCCCAAGCCTATAATGGTAATTACATAAAATACATCTCGAATGAAACCTGTAAAAAATAGAATTCCGGGATCTACTCAGGTTAAAGAAGGGAACATTTAATTCCCAATAAGCCGAGACTTAAGGGAGACTCGCATCAAATGGAAAAAATCTGGAACTCACCTGAACCGTGGGAGCGCTTGAGTCCTGTGCAACAGCGAGAAGAACAGAAACACTAGTACTGAGGTGCTGCCCACAGGCCAGACCTCCGACAAATCGATGGAGACAGCCAATGGCAGCACAGAGACCAGCAGCACGGGCCTGGGAGTCACGAAAACAGCGCAGCTGATCAAAGGAGGCCTGCGCCACATCCGCCAGGAAACCCGCCTCTCCAACCACCTGTGCCAATCTCCCGACGCATTCAGCTGCGGTGAAGCGAAGCACTGCATTGGAACTCGATAGCGCACTCTTGAAATGTAATGAAGATAAAAGTCAGTGATGCTAAGAGCTGGAGCGGGATAAGACTTGAACGAACAGATGAAGCTTGTTATAGAGGCGTTAAATACAAAGACAGGTTCTCCGTTTAAAAGCCAGTAGTTATCAGCGTACCAAATAGTAAAACTGAGGTTGAGAGGTTTATAACAAGGGAAAAGTGCATTTCATTACGCTAAATATACTATTAAAAAACCGGGAGTGAATTAGAATTAATGGATGCATGATAACAAAGACTTCCTCAAATGCGATTCAAACTATTATATTCTTG